GTTTTGTTTTTTTGGTGGGACGCGAGGACAAGCGGGAAAAGTCCCGCGCAGTGGGCCCCACTGCACACGTGGATGCTACATCATCAAAAAGCAGATCCACATCTGAACCTAATGAATAAGAAAACGCCGCATGTTCCACGTCAATTTCTAGGTGCCACGTAGTGCATTTTTTAACGGTGCCGTGACGGCCTGTTAAAATATTAGGTTTTTCACGGGTTTTGAAAAGTGGAGGGTGTGAATAAGGAGAAAAAATTCTGAAAAGTGTTGACCATGGAAAAAAAATAAATGGAGGGTGCAAATAGGGGCTTTGGCCTTTCTTATCTACTGTGAGAGTTGATGTGGCAAGGCAAGGGTGGGGCCCACAAGGCAAGGGTGGCAAAAAGAAAAAAAATTAAAGAAGGACTAACCGAGGTGGCCGTTTTCACTTAACGGTCAATAAACAGTGTCATTTTGGTTTTGAATTGTAGAGGGATGACAGCTAAAGTTAATTAATAGTAGAGGTACAACCTGGAGCCAATCGACTGTAGAAGGTTTAACTTGCACTAATTTTGATGGTAGAAGGACGATAGATGGCATTAACCCTTCAATTATATTATTCGATTGTTTCCCTTCTTGCCTCTGGAATCGAATTGTGAATTGCACAAAAGTTACCAGGCGAGCAAGAATTTAAAGTCAGGTCAAAATTGAATCTCTGATGGGTCGAATGGAACAAACTCAGCCAGCATTTTTGTTGTTTTCTTTTTCCTTTCCCCATCCATTCCAATTCCTCTCCTGCACAGGAAAGCCCTTCTTCGACCATAGCCAATCACCTTCTTCTCACCGCCACTCATTCTAGCCTTCCCTACCCTTCTTCTTCTTCCTCAGCTAGACACTTCTAGTCCAATTGCACTCTATTCCATCATTCTCATTCCCTATTGAGATAGTGAACAAGTGAAGAAGGAGAGATGGTGAGAGTGCCGGCCTTGCTTAAAGGGAAAAGATCAGTGCCAGCTCTGGGTCTTCTCCTATGATGAGTATGAGTCAAATCCGATTAGATCCATCGGAAAAGTGGGAGAACCGAAAGCATGGGGAAGAGAATGTTGTTGTGAAGAATCGGGGAGGTTGTCCACTAGGGGTACGGTAAGAGTGTTTTTTTTCCCCCCTTTTTTATTTCTTTTTTTATCAGTCTTTTTATTTGTCATTTTCTCTTTGGTTTAAACTGATAGTGGCATTCGTATTTAGTAGAATTTTGTTACAAGAAATCGGAGGATATGGACAAGAAGCCACTATGTTGTTCAATTGAATTTTTTTGGTAAACTAGGTGAAAAAAAGAAAGCTTAGGGAAGAGAATGGCATCATCCATTCATATGGTGGTACTTTGTTTTCTTAACCTGTTATGCATTATCATGTGCCGTGGATACTTCTATATTGGAAATGTGTTTTATTGTTATTTCTTTGGTTAATATCTGCCGTTGGGTGGTTGTGTATCATACTATCTTCTATTGTCAAACAACTTTTATATGGTTTATTGTTACTTTTATTGTGTTTTGACTAGCGACTGCATGAAGTTTTTTATTTTGTTTCTTTTGGCTAGCTTAGTTTTCACAGAAGGAAGGTGGAAATTTTTGTATGGTTTGTGTATTAGAGCTGTAGAATGTACTTCCAGATCATATCTGTATCCTTTTCGTGGCTTTCTACAACTAAGCTATCGAATTTTAGCCCAGGACCCTGCTCTTTCATTATCTAAGAGAAGAAGTAACTCTATCTGGAGACCTAAAGATCGTCTTATTTAGGTACCATTCTTAGTTTGCCTAATTACTTTAAATTTCCATGTGTTCGTTCTCTGTTAATTTGTTCTAACAAATAGGAAGATGTTCATGTAAAGCTTTCTATAGTAAATGAAAATTAGAGAACATGTTCACCTTCCATAGGAAGAATTTCTTATGGCAAGGTTGCAGGCTACAACTTTTTATCAATCTGCAAATGGGCCTAAATTAGATAATTGTGTAGAAAATTCGTAGTAATGCTACTCACTCAATAATACTTTGGTTCTCTTTTTGTCCTAGCTCTTTTTTAGAGGGAACTAATGTTCTTGCCTTATGTTTTCTTGCATTACAGTTGTTAATTTTGGAGTACTTTAGTCATTCATCTGTTTACCCTTTAAAATCCCATTTAAATGGACACCCGACCAAAGTACATCCTTCTCCAAATTCATGTTACTATTTTCCTTTGAATAGAATAGGAGTTTTGAATGTTTTCTCAATTCAGCATGTGGGACCATTTTCTATTAGATTACTAAACATGAAATATAGATATTGATGTGGAGAAGAATGGATTGATTGCATTGAGGAGGTTGTTCTCCTTACATCATTATTTTACCCACTTATGTCTACATGACCTCAAAGCATTCGTAAAAATAGATTAAGACTTTGATGCATTAAAGGAAAGTCATATGTAATCAACCTCAAATAATTTCGGACTAGAAACTTAGTTGAGTAGTCAACAATAGGCACTGTGATGGTCTTGATTGATTTGGAACTGTAATTATTTTATAGATTTGTGAATTTCTTAAAAGGATGCTTTGGGTTATTTGGATTTTGGACATGATGTATATAGCTAACTAGGAGTGTTGTATTGAGGAGATCAATTAATTGGTATCTGATTTTCTACTTTCTCTCTCTTTGTTTTATGCAAATGGAATGGTGACATTTATAATAACAAGCTGTTATTTTACAGGGAAGGTGATGACTGATGGGTTTGAGGAGTTGGAGATGTTTTGAAATTCTAGAGCTGTATTCATTGTTCTTTTTATTGTCACTTACTGCTTGAGTGTTTTTCCTTGAATATTTTTTCAACTTGATTTCCAAATTGTTTTTATCTATTTATTGTCTCTTTAATGAGTAGGTAATGTGGATTAAATGTTAATTTGGCTGGTTAATTTTGATTTTGGGGTACACTATGGTCACATGTTTTCTCTTTTATTTCTTGGTTCTCCATTTTCAACAACGGGATGTGTTGTTTACAATGTCTTATGACAGTGTTAGCCAACGAATGTTTACGAATATATTTCTATTTACAAATTGTCGTGGAAAATGGATTAATGCAATGCTGACTAGCTAGATAATGCAATAACGATTTTGCTTTCTATAACTTCTTTTTTCTCCTCTTTCTTACTATTTTTTTCAGGCTTTTAATGTACTGGTAGATTTCCTGTTCTTTGCTCTAAATATCATTCACAGAAACATGATTCCAGTTCTATTTATGCCTGATTATGTGAGAACCATAGTTTGCTAAGGACTGCATCTGCACTACAGCATTTTTGCCATTTAGTTATAGACAAAAACCATAGATATATGATAAAAATCTGTAGGTATATGCCTCTCAAGACTTATACCTACCATAAAAAAAGTGTAAGCAAGGTTTTTAAAACCGGACCGGACCGGCCGGTTGAACCGGTCGGACCGGTACCCGGTAATGAAAACGGCTCAGTTTACATAAAAAACCATTTGAGGTCAAAACTGGTCAAAACCGGTCAAAATCGTTCAAAACCGATAAAACCGATGAAACCGATAGAACCAAAAAAACCACCGGTTCAATTTCTCATGCAATTTTCTTTTTATTTTTTCCAATTTCACCTTCACCATTCCTTTCTTATATCGATTTTAACCCTTAATTTTAATGAAATTACAAAATTACCTATCTCTCTCATCAAATTTCCCTTGTTATTTGAACCGGTTGGTTCATCAATTTAACCAATTAAACCAGTCAAATCAAAAACCAGACCCGAAAACGGTTCAATGACCGGTCCAATTTTAAAAACCTTGAGTGTAAGTATATGTCCTAATAGACATCTAACTACACTTTTGATCATATTCTTACACTTTTACATTTTGTAGGTGAAGGTTTCATGAGCCTATACCCACATCTAAAATACCATAGGTAAAAAGAAATACCTACGCTTATGAGGCATAGATAAATACTAATGACAACAAAAAAATAGTAGTTACGTTATTACCTTTTAACTTTACTATTTGTTGTTGTCAAAAGTATTATTTAACAATACCATAAATTGCTACCAAAAGTTATATTTTGCAACAATTATAATTATTTCTGAAAATAATATTTAGAAACCACAAGTTGTTGTTAAAAAATAATGTCAAAAAATAACTTCAATTATTATTTAAAGCAATATTTGTAATGATAAAAATTGTTATAAAAGATGTATTTTACAATAATATTAGTTGTTGCTAAAAGAGATATTTTCTAACTATTTTAATTGTTTCATAAAATAATATTTTGCTATGGAATTAATTGTTGTGGTAACCAATATTTCGAAGTGAGTAAATGTTAGGGAATAAATGTTTTAGCAACAACTAAAACCATTACAAATTGAATTTTTGACAACAATTGTTGTAACAAAATATTATTTAACAGAACAATTCACAATTGTTAGAAAATGCCTGTTTCAGTGATAACTATAACATTGCAAAATACACTTTTTTGCAACAACTTTTGTCATTGTAAATATTTTTAAAATATATTAGTTGCTATTAATAAATATTTTCTAAATTTTTAAAATTTAAAACTTATCATAAAGAATTTAATTTCAATTTAAAAATATTTTCAAACATAACAAAATATAGATATTTTTAAAGAATAACAAGTATGTAATTTCATTTAAAATTTCTAAAAAGAATGCAAGATACATGACCTAAAATGAAAAAAATACAACAAACGTTCCAGGCATCTCCATGGAAATCCCTTACCACTCTTATACTATTTATTGTCTACCACCTTGAATAAACCCTAAAAATTTCCCTATACACTCTATAATCTGTACCTATGTAAGACTCCTGTTCTAAAAATATTCTAGTGAAAACAACTTTTCTGTGCAGATCAATTATATAGTCATGATCAGCACCTTGCATATATTACTAGTTCTATTGTTCCTCAATCCACAAGTTCTCCTAAGCCTCCATTCAACTTCCCAGCTACTAGCTATGAATCCCAAACTTACTGAGCAGCCATCAAAATGTATGTGAAAATAGCTTTCCTCTGCAACACTACACAAAATATATGAGTCAGGACTCTAAGCCTTTTTTTTTTTCTTTTTTTTTTTTCTCTTAAACAAGGCATAAGAGCATTGAGAAAGAAGG